AAGTCCTCCGTTTTCCCTGTTCATTTAACCTTTCCTCTATTGTTACTTTCTGTCTTGTTTATTCCACATGTGCCTCCTCCCTCTGCTCCCATCTCTGAGCCTCTGCCCTTGTTCTCCTCTTTCTCTGCTCTGTATGCTTATCCCCAAGATATCCTCATGGCTTCCTCCCTGACTTCCTTGAGTTGTTTACTCAAATATCACCTTTACAGTGAGATTTTCCTTGGCCACGCCATCTAAAATTGTGATATACTACCCACACATATACGAACATCTATCCAACTTTGGTGCTTTTTCTCTCTTAATACTTGCTAACAACATACTACATAGTTTATTCGTTCATTCATCTTCCCCATTAGAATGTAAGCTCCATTAAGGGTAGAGATATTTCATTTATTAACAACCAAGTCTTTAGTGCCTACAACAGGTAATCTGAATGAATGCCTTTTTATATCATTTGTATCTACCATCAGATATTCTTGTATCTAGTACATATTTGTTATACAATATTTAGAAATGTTTGTTAAATGAATAGGTAACCCTTTCATCATATATGTAACTTTTTTTTTACAGCCTTTTTTTCTTTTCTTTTTTTTTACAATTTTAGTTTCACAGCAAAAGTGAGTGATCATGCAGTATGGGTGGACCACAGGTGGTTTTTGTTGTTGTTGTTTGTTTTTTGCACATTCACCTATTGAAGGACAATCTTGGTTGCCTTTAAGTTTTGGCAATTAATATAGGTGCTTTAAACATTTATGTGCAGGCTTTTGTATAGACATAAGCTTTCATATCATTTGGGTTAATACCAAGCCACGTGGTTGCTGAGTCATTCCCACATTTTCTACCCCCACACACAGTCCCCCAAAACACAAAGCCTCTCCCATCATCATCTTGCAGTGTGGTACATTCATTATTAAGTAAAGTCCAACAATTAACCAACACTGACACATCATTATTAAGCAAAGTCCATACTTTACATTTGGTTTCACTGTTGTACATTTTGGGTTTTGACAAATGTATAATGTACCCACCAATGTAGTATCATACATAATTTCATTGCCCTAAGACCCTGTGCTCCACCTATTGACCCATCCTTCCACACAAACCTGACAACCAGGATTTTTTTGTCTCCACAATTTTGCCTTCTCCAGAATGTTATAGTTGGAATCACATATTATGAACTTTTTCAAATTGTCTTCTTTCACTTAGAAATAAACATTTAAGGTTCAGCCATGTCTTTTGGGGGCTTGATAGCACATTTCTTTTTTGGAACTGAGTAATATTCATTTGGGTTAATACCAAGACATGTGGTTGCTGAGTCATATGGTAAGGCAGTTTTTGCTTTAAAAAAACAAAACAAAAAAACCTGTCAAATTTTCTTCCAAAGTGGCTTTACCAATTTGATTCACACAAACAATGAATGAGAATTCCTGTTGTTCCACATCCTCACCAACATTTGGTGTTGTCAGTATTTTGGATTTTAGTCATTCTAGTACATATGTAAGAGTGATATCCCGGTGTTTATTCCAATTGCAATTCCCTATAATGGTGAGCATCTTTTCACATTCTTACTTGCCATCTGTATCTTCAGATGTTTATTCAAATATTTTGTCTATTTCCTAATTAGGTTATTCCTTTTCTTAATTGTTGAGTGTTTTTAGTTGACCCTTAAACAAGAGGTGGGGGTGTTGGGGAACCCACCACCCAAGCTGTTGTAAATCTGGGTATAACTTAAGCCGGCCTCCAACATAGAAATACACTTGACCCTTTAACAAGATGGGTTTGAACTGCGTGGGTCCATTTAAAAACAGCTTTTTAAATCCCATATTAGTAGTCCCACAAAGTACAAAGCCAAGTTGTTAAGGGTCAAATGTATTTTGGATAACAGTTATTAGACATCTCTTTTTCAAATATTTTCTTTCAGTTTGTAGCTTCTCATTCACGTGACTATATCTTTTTACAATATGTGATCATGCAGTATGTATAACTGGCTTTTTAATACAGCACTATAGCAAGCATTTTCCATTTTGCTTGAGACTTCCCCATCACCGTTTTAAAAGGCTACAAAATAAATAATTACATTTCTCCCTCCACAGCCCCAGAGATTTTATTAGCCTCAACTTACAAGTGAAGAGAGAAGAGGGTAATTTGCCTGAGGGTCTAGGTCTGCTATACGAAGAGCTCAAAATCCTACCCTCTGGTTAACCCATCCCCTAGCCTAAGACCTAGGTTAACCCATCCCCTGGGGTAACCCACCCCCCGGGTAACCCACCGGCGCTGTCCACTCCGCAGAGCGGCCTCTCCCGGTGGCAGAGGTTTCTAGGCCCAGGTAACATTTCCTCTTTCCTGGCCTCCCAATGCGCTTCAGAGTGAGGCTGGGATGCTAACAGATCTCGGGGAACCGAGCGCCGCGGCGCAGGGCGGGCACTCGCCCCGTCTTCCTCCTCCGCGGGGGTAGGGGGTGGAGGCAGAGC